GGTGCCGGTGGCTCAAGCCTGTAATCCTAGCTACTCAGGAAGTTGAGATCTGAGAATCACAGTTCAAAGCCAGTCCAGGCAGGAAAGTCTGTGAGACTCTTATCTCCAATAAATCACCAGAAGTGGCACTGTGGCTTAAGTGGTAGAGTACTCTCCTTGAGCTGAAAAGCACAGGGACAGCACCCAAGCCCAGAGTTCAAGCCCCATGACCCACCAAAAAAAAAAAAAAAGACAAGTAGAGCTGTGGCTCAAACGGTAGAGGGCTACTAGTAAAAGAATAGACAGAGCCCATGGATAAAGCTTGGGATGGAGCCTGTGTTCAAGCCTCAGGACAGAGCACATAGACACAGACACACAAAAATGGTACTAACTCTTCCTAGAATGTTCTGATAAAATAGGCCTTTCATGCCTGGGAATGTGGGTTAGGGTAGAGTGCTTACCTAGTATTCAAGAAGCCCTGAGTTCAAGTCCTTAGTACCACATTAAGAGATGTTGTGCTGTGACTCAAGTGGTAGAGCCCTGGGCTTGAGCACAGAGGGGCTGAAGGACAGAACCCAGGCCCTGAGTTCAAGCCCCAGGACTAGCAAAAAAAAACCCAAAACACAAAAAATCATTTCAGATACATTCCTATTAATTTCATATACCCAAGAGTTTCTTGTTATGCAATCATTAGAAATATATGTTAACTCACATATATCTTTTCCTCTAGATACTGCTGAATTTATATATATCTCCTTGAAAAAGAACAATCCAGAAATGCTGCAGTGTCTTTAAAAGATTATAAAATGACTCAGAATATCCCCCCAAAGTAATTTTCTTGACTTTCCTAAACTATTTAAGGAACATGTTATAAAGTACATCAAAAAAAAAAAAAAAACCCAACACTTTGGTACGTGATACTGTATATAACAAGTAGGGTTGTGAGGAAAGTCGATTACCGCTAACTACTCGGGATTCTAAGCCTGAAAACAAAACAAAATTGGAAAACTCAACATGATCCTTGTGATCGAGAAGTTTACAATCTACAATCTAATGTATCTCAGTCACCATTGAAACAACCAACTTTTACATATATATAATTTTATATAAAAATTCATAAATATAATAAAACACATAAATGAACAACCGTTTAAAAGATATACCTGAACAATCTTCATCTTCTTTCACAGGCAATTGGGACTGTCTCAGTATTTCTCTTACTAGCTGATCACATAATCCTTGAGCATCATTTAAATTATAGCTATAAAGGTGGCAGTATAAGAGAGAAAGATAATAGCGTATCTGAAGAAAACATGTCCTTCTTCCTCCTGGTAAAAGGAAAGAATTAAAATTACCTTTAAAACATGTGAGTAAGGGCTGGGAAGGTGGCTCAATGGTAGAGCGCTTGCCTTGCATTCATGAGGCCCTGGGTTCAATTGCTCAGCACCACATAAGCAGAAAAAAAAAGCCAGAAGTGGCGCTATGGCTCAAGTGGTAGAGTGCCAGACTTAAGCTGAAGAGCTGAGGGACAGTGCCCAGGCCCAGAGTTCAGGCACCACAACTAAACCCCCAAAAAAACAAAAAACAAACAAACATGTGAGTAAGAGAGTATTTGTCAAGTAATAGTAAATACAAGTATACAAGTTACAAACTTTTCTGTATCTGTTTACCTTTAATAAGAAATTCTTTTAAAAAACAGATCAGCAATACTTTTTTCTTTTTCATTTTAAATTCTGGATGATTTTCTTTCATGAGGTCTTATGACTCAGATTTTATACAAAGAGCATAATAGCATCTAGCACTGTCCATTAATAACTTCTTACTCAAGTACACATAGTAGAAAACATGCCAAAACCCCCTAATGTTCAGTCTCTGAAGAAGCAACTACCCCAATTATGCTCGAACACTGACAACTGCCTTCAAATATCTGAAAACTATTAAAACTCACACTATGACTGCCTACAACTTGTTTCTTCCTGTTTTTGTTTTGTTTTGTTATTAAGTTATTAGGATTTGAACTCAAATTCTTTTTTACCAAGTAAATAATTCTAGCTTTATGCAGTATTCAATGTACCCAGATCTTAATTTCTCAGTAGTGTGGTCTTGTAAACCAAGATATAATATTGTGTGCAACTTCCAGAAAAGCAGCTCAAGAGAGGTTAACTCAGCCAGGCACTGGTGGCTCACGCCTGTAATCCTAGCTACTCAGGAGGCTGAGATCTGAGGAT